CCCCTTAATAATAAAAACCTTCATTTAAAAACTGCATTTTGTGTTTACTTGTGTTATCTTTGTCTAATATTTAAATTAGTTTGATGATCTGAAACATTTAAGTGTGACAAACATGCAAAAAAATAAGAAATCAGGAAGGGGGCAAACACTTTTTCACACAACTGTATATATATATAGTTCCCGGTCAGCAATAATGTCCAGCCATGAAGAGCACACAGTTTAAATATTTCAGATCCACCATAAAACCTGATGGCTCTCTGCTTTCTGTCCAGGCGCCGAGCCGTCCCCGGCGCTGCTCGTGGCCAGCTGCTCCAGGAGGCGAGTCCGCAAGTGCAGTAAAGAGGGCAAAGAAGCGGGAACAAAGCCGGACGACAGCGCTCCTAAGATCAAAGGAAGACCTGGTCGCAAACCCAAACCCAAACCAGGTGAGCTAATCAAACTGCTTCCTCAGGAACTGATGGATGGATTGAGTAAAGAACAGTTATGTTCTGTTGTCGGCTTATATGAGGCTTTAAGCTTGACTTTTAGTACCATCTTTAGTCCACTTAATAATTATTACCAACCCACTGACCCGCTGCTTGTCCTACTAATAGATCATATCCTCTGAGTCTTTACTTGACTCTCATGTATCGATGGTAATGCTGGTAGAAACCATGAGTTTCAAATCTTTACGAACTATCAATGAAATAAAAGCTAATGTTTCCTATGGGAGGTAAAGATAATGGAGGTGGTGCTTAAGATAAAACTAGTGAATTGTACATTAATGTGCTGCCATCACGTTTGTCTTTATTTGAAATGTGCTTTCTTCTTCGATTATTTCCCGGGGACCAGTAAAAGACATCTCCTCACATACTGGAGCCAAACGTGTCGGCACAGCGTAATCAAATAAGAGATGAGTTTTACATCAGTGCTCATCGTGGAAGAGCAGAGTTTCTCTTCTGGGTGCCTCACTTATCCATTTAAAGATACAGTTGGTAACAATAACATGAAGAATTCATATTCGCTCAAACTGTCACTTGACAGTCGTACGTGAGACAGAGAAGCTCCTCTGCCTCCTCTTCGTGCTCCTAATGGCATTTACAAGATTCCACCGAATATGACAAAAAGTTATTTCATTTGCGTTGATGATGAGGAACAATAATAGAAGTGAGTTACATGCAGTGCGTTGCTGTCTTCTTAGTCTTTTGATTCATCTTTTTAAAACAACAGGACCAACAGAAATAGCTCAAGGCTCAGAGAGATCTTTCATCAAACGTCTCATATTTGACCACGGCAGTCAGCTCTGATTTCAGTTTATTAAAGTTGCTCAAACAGCTTCGTTGTTGTTCTGTAAAGAGTCCGTGACTCTCGCTGTAATAGATGGCATGTTGCATGTCTGATTTGCTGACGCCGGCCTCCTTTCTACTGGGGTAAGCAGTTCTGAAATGCAATGTTTTCAATTCAGAATTGTTGCTCATTTGTCATCTCGGCATGCGAGTCTGCGGACCACAAAGATCATGAAGCCACATAGTGAATATGTCAGCATGTCCCGTGTAAACCTGTTTACATTTGGCCCAGACAAACAGAGTTCTCAAACCTTTTTGTGGTCTTTCCTTTCCTGTTTTTCAGAGACCTCTTTGAACCCAGATGGCCGTGAAAAAGCTGATCCTCCATCCTCCTCCCCGCAGCCTGCAGAGAGGCCCCAGGCTCCAGCCAAGCCTTCCCAGGACCGGACCTCCTCTGTCCAGAAGGCGGCTCCGGAGAAGCCCCGCCCTGCCTCCCGGCCAATAATGGGAGCCCAGGCAAAACCAGGCCGCAAAAGCTCCGCCATTTCTCCTGCAAGTAGCCCCACCCTTCCCAACCCGGTGCCCCGGAAGGCCAGCTCAGCCCAGCCTGCTGCTCCTAAACCAGGCCGTGCCCTCCCTCCCTCCCTCTACCCCTCCACCTACGGAAAAGTCCTGACCGTGGATCTGTACAGCGAGCCCAACCTCAGCTCGTACAACAGCCAGCGCAGAGAAAGAGAGAGTCGCAGCAGTGACAGTCCCACCACCAACAGGCCGATGTCCCGACCCGCTATGGCACCGTCGTCTACTGCGCCCAAGCCAAGCGCTTCGTTCACACCCAGACCCACTTCTGCTTCGCCCAAAACCAAACTGTCCTCGGACCATCACAGCGGCTCCAGACCCGGCCACGGCTCTGGACTTCTACCCGGTCCCGTCTCCAGGCTGTCAACAGGCAAACAGGGCTCTTCGCTGACTCCCAGACCTTCATCATCATCTTCATTGTCGTCATCATCTGCACCAAGACCCAAACTGAAGATGCCGTCCGACCAGCTGTCCTCCAGACCCAGCTCCATCTCCAGGCCCAAGCCCAACCCGGGGCACAGTGACGCGGGCTCAGTGGTGAGACGCAAGCCCCAGCCTGCAGAGCCCCTCGTGAAGCTGGACCACGAAGGTGTCACCTCCCCAAAGACCAAGAAGACCAAGGCCCTGATGTTGCTCGAGGGTCGAGGCGTCAGAGGAGATCACACCCCCATCACCACGGCCACAGCCAATCAGGAACTGCTAAAGGTGAGACCAAAAGCCCCGGATAGAGAGTCTGGCCTGAAAGAGAAAGACTCTGCCTACAAAGCTCCAATGCTTGCCAAGGAGAAGGCAGAGAGTCGTGGAAGTGCCGGCAGAGGACAGGAGGTGGACACAAGAGAGGAGAAAGGTAAAAAAGAGGAGAGGAAGGCGGTGGAGAAAAGAGAGGAGAGGAAGATTAAAGATGAATCTCAGAGTAGCAGCAGCTCGGAGTCAGAGGAGGAAGGGGAGAAGGGGAAGTTAAAGAAAAAGAAGAAATGCACCTCGAGTTGCTCGTCGTCCTCTTCGTCCTGCTCTGGTTCCTCCTCGTCTTGTTCATCATCGTCCTCTTCGTCGTCCTCTTCTTCCACCGATGACTCTTCCTGCAGCTCAGATGAAGAGAGGACCCGTACTCCTCCACCAGGCCCTGTCACCCCACCTCCAGTACAGGATAAACCGAAAGAAGAGACGAAAGAAGAAGAAGAGGAGGAGGAGGAGGAAGAGCTGAAGAAGGAAGTGGAGGTAAAAGAGGAGGAAGACGAGCTGTCTCCTCCCTCACAATCTCCCTCCCCTTCATCCTCTCCGACTCCTTCTGCTCCTGAGCCGGCCAAACCTGCTAAACCAGCGACGGGGAAGGGCTCGGGGCAAAGGGGTCGTCCTCCCAAACCGAAGCCCAGCGGAGGAGAGGGGAAGGTGGGGAGACCAAAGCGGAGAGAGGGCGTCCACCTCCCCACAACCAAGGAGCTGGCTAAACGTCAGAGGCTTCCCAGTGTGGAGAACAGGCCCAAAATATCTGCTTTCCTCCCAGCCAGACAGCTCTGGAAGTGGTTTGGAAAACCCACTCAGGTGAGAAGAAAAATATCACCTGAATATACAAAAATCAGAAGAGAAACACCCAACTGTGCTCTTCCAAATATCCCTTCACTTTGTGACCAGTCTGTCCTCTTCTGACCCCCCCCCCCCTCACCCACAGAGACGCGGCATGAAGGGCAAGGCTAAGAAGCTCTTCTATAAGGCCATTGTGCGCGGGCGAGAGATGATCCGCATTGGTGACTGCGCCGTGTTCCTGTCCGCCGGCCGGCCCAACTTGCCCTTCATCGGCCGCATCCAGAGCATGTGGGAGTCCTGGGGCAGCAACATGGTGGTCAGGGTCAACTGGTTCTATCATCCGGAGGAAACCAACCCCGGCAAGAAACTCACCGACAAGAAGGTAGGAGCCTGTTGTCAAACATTCCCAGGATGCACTCGGAGAGCTTTTAACGTAGCCTCAACATTTCTGGCGAGGAGTCTTTCCACCATTTTCCCCCAAGTCTCCTACGGTCCTCCTTCCTTCTCCACTTTCACCCGAGGAGATCTTAGGACTGAGCTACTTTGTGAATAACTTTAGTCTCTACCATGTCATAATTATAAGAATATTCTTAGAATTTCACCACTAGCAACAACTCTTTGCACGAGGAAGCTTTATGACTGGACCCGCCCCCAAGAGCTTAAACATCGTTGTCATTGTTGAGGCACAAAGCTCGATAAATCACGATCTGAGAATTGTGATTTGTCTTTCAGTAAAAGATCATTTAACTTCGTAATTTTATTTTGTCTGAATAACAGAAGGTCTTATTCACGGGTGAGAGCGTTCTGACTATTAAATTCCAGGAAATGTAAATCATGAAATTGGAATTATTCAGTTCAATCTCATAACTAATGGAATCTGCCTCCTTCATTCCCTCATTGCAATATATCATGCTGCTATATCATTAAAAAGCCACGAGGTCATCATGATGAGGTCGATCATGACTTTTTAAAGCATGTAATGCATGATTCATTCACAGCTGTTCAGTAGAACAAACGCACGTCAGACTGAAGACATGTTTGTGTGTTATTAGTACGAAGCGTTTTTGCTAAAACGTGTCTGTCCTCTGCAGAATTGGGACCAGATGTGCGGTCAGTCTTTACCAGCAGCGCTGCACTCGTCTATCCAGAGGAAAGACTTCATGGAGGTGAGAGAGAACAAAGGGCTCTGCTAGCTACTCGCATTGTTCCACTGATGTTCTGATTGATTCTACTGTGTGTGTGATTGTGGGTCAAGTATACAGAAAACAGAAAGAAAAGCTGTAACGCTTCGTTTCTTTGCACTCTATTTCGGGGGTTCGACAGACAACAGGCGACTACCGTTAATTGTCTCGTTGGGCGGAACATATTTCGAATAAAACCCCTCTGTCTCTGTGTCACAGCGCGCCCTCTACCAGTCCTCTCACAGCGACGAGAATGACGTGCAGACGGTCAGCCACAAGTGCCTGGTGGTGAGCGTGGAGGAGTACGAGCAGATGACCCACACGCGCCGCTACGCCGACAGCGAGGACCTCTACTATCTGGCCGGCACCTACGAGCCCACCACGGGCATGATCTTCAACACCGACGGAGTCCCAGTCATCTGCTGAACCCACGCAGGACTCCAAGACACCAAATCACGACTCGCTTAACTTTGGAGCTAACCCCCCCCCCCGGTCTCTTCCCAAGTCTAATCACTGATCTTCATTCATGATGGATCTTTTAAGTAACACCACCACGATACACTTCAAACAGACTGTCACGAGCAGCATCAACTACAGAGACTAGAGACACTATAGACAGTATTACAAGGACCAAGTCTCCTGAAACCTTTGCACACATATAAGACTCCATCAACACTGTTCTGCTCGTTGTGTTCAAGGGAAAGCTTGAGAATGCACACGAAGCACCTCGGTCTCCTTTTTACATGTAAATATACCCTGCATAGACACGCGTGTAAATACCCACCTCCATGTAACACACACACAGTTATATATATAGAGGAAAATATGAGTGTTTTATTTTCATGTAATAGATTTATGTCAGAGTACTTTTTTCTAAAGAGGTTAACAGTCGAGAAGCTTTAATGAACTGTGAATGATGGTGAGGAGAGAGGCGTCCGTCCGTCCGTCCTCCTGCTGTGGCGGGACGGACGGATGGACGGACGCACGCGGCGGTGATGTGACGTTGTGATTATGATGTTGCCGTGGTGATGTTACAGTCATATAAATGTATCTACAGAACAGCAGGAGCGACGGACAGAGACAGAGAGAAGTAGCGACTCCTTCCACCGCTGTCCAGCAGAAAGCACTTGACACTTAACGTCTCTCCAAATTTAAGTTAACCCCTTCAATTCCCCTTTGACAATCCTCACCCGGGCAGGCCAACTGTCCGCGTGATACTAAAACTTCTGACTCCCTCAGAGATTCGGGCTTAAAGAGAGAGAGAGAGAGAGAGGAAGGAATCTTGTACTATGAAAAGCACTTCCCATTTTCATCTTTAGTTCCTATTCTTTGAGGAAGAATCCACCCTGAGAACATTTAAACACTACGAAACCAGCTGCTGTTGATGTATCTTGTGTTTTGCCCATTTTATGAACCACACAGGGAGACTTAGAGCCGAGAGGAGCGAGAGAGACACCAGCTCCTCCACCTGACAGCAGCATAGATACAGGATTCTGTGTTTGGGGGATGTCGAAAAGCATGCTGGGAAACGTAGGACAGAAATGGGTAAACCAAGAAAAGTAAAGGATAACACTTGATCACAGAGTGACTCTGAATGCACTGAAGAAGACCGGCCGATGTATCGGCAGTGTGGGAGTCCCACAGGGTGGATTTTTCCTTTTTTTTTTTTTTTTTGTTAATTTGAAGGTGTTTTCAGGGTTGTAAACATTGCAGTCAGTCCAAGATGCATCAAGGACGTGGCACAGACAGGGAGTAGGGAGCTGCCAGCGCCTGATTACATCATGAGCATAATTCAATTTGAACGGTTATCTGCCACAGTTTGGCTTCATTCATTCACTTTGGCTGCAGTGTGTTCAACCTCTGAGTGTCCTTTTGTGAGATGTTGTGTTTTTTTTTTGCTTCTGCTGTTCTATGGACGTCAATCTTTGCCGTTTTCCCCGTTCGATCACATTTCTACCCTCCAAGCCATCATCTCTGACAGGAGTGCGCTTTGAACGAGCTCCGCTCCCTTCTTCTCCCCTAAACACACGCAGGTAAACGAACACACGCGGCCCCTTTTACACCTTCTTCTTTTGGTCTCTCTGAGCTGCTTATGAATTATTAATTTTTTCTCCACGTGCCTAGGTTAACCGTATTTCAGGGGGAGACCGTTGAATGTCGTGCTCAGGGTCGTGAGCGTTCGGGCGGCCTTACTCCCCCAGGCCTTATGATGATGATGATGATGATGATTCGCCAAAACCTTCGCTTAGGTCCCGCCCCCTACTGCTCCCTTCATCAAAGTAATCAGATCGGCGTTTTCCCCAGAAATGCCTTCTGTGTGATTTATAATTGAAATCCGTTCCTGAGCTTTTAACCCACTTTGTTACACTATTGTGTGTATAGTTTGTATCAGATCTATATGCAGTATATAGAATACTGTGTACATACATATATATATATATATATATATATAGTATATCTGTGATTATCATGGTGATTCTCTCGTGTTTCTTACCACGTTGCCCTCTCTCTGCTTTGCTGCAGAGATTGAAGATTGTCTTGTTGATATTCAATAGGTTTAATATTTTCTACTCTTCTGTCTGATTTTATTATAGGCTATATCCTATATTTACTCACTCTCAGACGGCTGCGTGACGTCTGCGTGACGTCTGGAGGACAGCCCAATATGTTAATGTTGTTTTAATGTGACATATTTTTCGATAAATGACAAAAGACGTCTGCCAGTAGACTTCCAGTACAGGAGAGGTAAAGGAAATGTTTGATTAATGTGCTGCTAGTATTGAAAGTGGTTTGACAAGGTACGCAGTGACTTTAAGTGCTGTTTTCTGAAAATGACCTGATTGATTGATTGATGGCAGAACATCTTATCTGCTCAAGCCCCGCCTGCTCCTCAGGCCTGCTGCTCTTCAGTCTGCTCCCTCAGGCCGACGCTCGCATTTCTGAAGACGAAAGTTCAAAAGTTTTGAGTGACAGTCGTCCAAAATGGATCTCCGGCTGGTATCTCAGCTGTGGGAGCGTAATGGGAACACAGGTCGTATCGGTGTTTGCAGAGCAACAGTTCACATGCCCGTTATGAATGTTTGTTTACCCCTGGAGCTGCTAAAGCACTTTTTTTCTCTCTCTCTGTGTGTGTGTGTGTGTGTGTGTGTGTGTGTGTGTGTGTGTGTGTGTGAG